TATTGTACATTCAGTCGTATGGAGAATTCTGTTAGGTAGTTTATTTAAAAAATAGTAAAGTTAGATTGGGTTTTAGGTTTAACATTTATGTGATATAATTGTGAGAAACATTAAGATATACAATTTATAAGGTTGAGTTATTCAGTATATATTTGGTTTTGGGTGAGTAAGTGATCTTTGAGAAGAGACTTGAATTTATAAACAGGTAGTGTTTCTTTTATATTTACAGTAATGAATTCCAGATTTTAGGGCCTTTTATGTGCATTGAGTTTTTGCATAGTGTGAGATGGACACGAGGAACATCAAAGAGTGATCTGTGCCTTGTGTTATGGTCATGTGTTCTGTTGAGGTTGGCAAGGAGATGTTTGAGGGAGGGTTAATATCAGAGTTAAGTGTTCTATGTATGTAATAGGTGCAGTAATAAGTATGGATGTTTTGTATGGTGAGTAGGTTTAGTGTATTGAATATTGGTGGAGTGTGCTGCCTGTAGTGAGAATTTGTTATCATTCTAACTGCAGCCTTTTGTTGGGTAATTAGTGGTCTGAGATGGTTAATTGTTGTTGAGCCCCATGCACAAATTCCATAGGTGAGATAGGGGTAAATAAGTGAGTGATATAGGCCAGGAGGGCTGACTGTGGAGCATAGTACCGTATCTTCGATAGTATGCCTACAGTCTTGGAATTTTTTTAGAAATTTGTTGTATATGTGTATGAAATTTGAGTCTATTATCAAGGTGGATTCCTAAGAATTTTCCCTCTGTTTTGCTTTGTGATAGGTGATCCGTTTATCATTATGTTAAGAGGGACATCTGTAGCTCTGTTACCAAACTGAATGAAGTAGGTTTTGTCAATGTTTAGTGTAAGTTTGTTAGTCCTCATCCAGGTAGATATTTTCTGTAATTCGGTATTTAAAGTATTGGCTAGCGTGACTGGGCTCGGGTGGGAGAAGACGTATTTAGTGTCATCTGCAAATAGTGTGGGTTTTGAGTAATTGCAAAGCATTTGGTAGGTCATTTATGTATAGGAGAAAGAAAAGAGGCCAAGGACACTTCCCTGTGGGACACCAACTGTAATTGGTTGTGCAGAAGATTTGCCCCATTTGCGTACACATATTGGCTTCTGTTGCTGAGGTATGACTTGAGGTGTTGAGGAGTGCCCTCTATCCCATAGTGTGACAATTTTACGTGGAGCAAGTCATGGTCAACTGTATCAAAAGCTTACGAAAGTCAATGAAAGATCCCCAGTGGGACTTCTTTTTTCCTATTGCATTTAAATATATGTTCTAGCATGTGTACAATAGCATCATTAGTATTTTATTAGGCCTAAAACCCAAAATTGGCAGGGGTTGAGTATGTTTTGGGAGATAAGGTAGGAGTAGATTCGTTTATGAATTAATTTTTCGAAGATTTTAAAGAGGGGTGTAAGTTGGATATTGGCCTAAAAGTTATTCAACTCTGTTTGGTCCCCTCCTTTGTGGATCGGGGTGACCCTTGCTTTTTTGAGTACTGTAGGGAAGGTGGAGGAATTCAATGGATTTGTTAAAGAGTTTTTGCAATGATTGGTGATAGCACTTGTGACATTTTTTTGTATATAAAGGGTGGTAAGGTATTTAAATCTCCTCCCTTTGTTTTTTAGTGCGTTGATAATAAGGAGACTTCGTAATGGGTTAGTCGGAGCTAGGAACAGTGTGTTCGGGTAGTTGCCGGTGAGGTAGTCATTTGTGGGGTATCTGAGCTTGGTTTTTATTGGCAAGGTTTTGCCCCTATAGTGGAGAAGAAATCATTGAGCCCTGTTTGCTGTTTCTGTTGGTGGGATTTTGAGGTTCATCTGTTTTTGCTAATTTTATTTCGCTATTTCGTGATATCTTTTTTGTTCCCAGAATTTCTGATAGGTTTTTTCCAGGTTTTTTTTTATATCACCTCGTAAGTTGGATAATCTTTTTCTCTAATACAATTTTTTTGCCCTTCTTATAAAGGCTGGTTAGGATTACGAGTAACGTTTTGTTTGGTCTCTGGTTATGTGACCCATTCTGTACTGTTTTTCATATTGGTGTTTTTTATTTATGGATTTGAGAATGCTGGGTTTAGCCAGGGACTGTTCAGTCTCTTAGCTGTCATCTGTTTAGTTTTTAGGGCAGTGCTTATTATAGAGGTATGGGTCTTTTTTAGAAAATTATAATACCCTTCGTCAATATCTGTATAGATTTCCCAGCTCAGTGTGCCAGTCAATGTTTGCTACTGCTTTTTGTGAAGTTATTAATGGCTGCCTCATTGTGAAGTCTGAAGGTGACTTTAGTAGTGTCTTGGGGGAGTTTACCAGAGTTGTTATGAGAAAGTAGGTGAGTGTGGCTGTGGATTATCTGTAATTATGCCTGATTTTAAAGGGGATATGGTGTTGGGTCCAGATGTGGTCAAGTAGGGAAACACTATCTCTGGTAACTCTTGTAGGTTTTTTTACTGTTGGTAGCAAAATACAGTTACTCATTGTTTTGTGAATTCCAGTAACGTGTGGATCCTGGGCTTGCAGGAGATTTATATTGAAGTCACCTAGAGTAGTAAGTGATCTTTGTTCATTGCGTGCATCAGTTATCATACTTCCTAGTTTTGACTAAATTGGCTAATGTTTGACTGTGGAACTCTGTAGATGTTTTCAATGTGAGAGGTTTTTGTAGGTATTTGGATTTGAATTTAGCTATTATAAAATTCCCCATGTTCATCCCTTGTGCAAGTATTAGTGAACATTCTAGGTGGTCTGAGTAGTATATGGCTGTGCCACCCCCTTGTTGTCTGGCCTACAGTTGTGTATGGCTGTGTAACCAGGAATGGCATAGACATCTGTAGTATCAGGGTTTTAGCCGGTTTCAGTTAGTGTAATGAATGACATATTGGCCCTGTAAGGAATTTAGTAATGCATGAGGTCATCGTAATGCTTGCTTAAAAAATCTGATATTGTAGTTAAAGATAGTTATGTTGTTATTGGCACTGAAAGTGCCTTTGATTTTCAGCAGTGGGAGTAATTACAGTAACTGTTGGTTCATTTAAGTCATTATATAAGAGGTTGGTATCAGATCAATGCTTGTAATCATAAGATTTGTAGTGAATCTCTATTAGAAATAAGTATAAAACAAAGTAAATAGTCTTAAGCTAAAAAATAGCACCTGAACTATTTAACAAATGTAAAATAATGAGCTAAGGTAGTTTTTTTTTTATTCTTTTTTTTTTTTTTTAAGCTAAAATAAAGGAGACAATATAAAAGGGACTAATACAAATAAAGTGATGGTCAAATAATGGAGCTTGGGAATATGATAGTAGGTAGTACTGTAAAGGTAATTCTTTAAAGTTAGAATTATAGTATAAAATTATAATATAAAAGGGACTAATATAAGTTGTGGTGAACTATAAAGTGGTAATCAAATAAATGAGCTTTGGAATGTAATGGCAAAATTGTGAACTTATTCTACTTTAGCACCTGAGAATAGCACCTTGATTATTTTAACAATTGTGAATATATAAACTAGGGTAGTTATATAAGCTAAAATAAAGGAGAAAATATATGAGGGACTAAAATTAAGCAATGGTAAACAAAGTTGAATGGACAGATGGTCACTATGAAATAATATTGGTTTAGAGTAAGATCTGATTTGTAATATTAAATAATTGAGCAGTTTATTGCACAATAAAAAGTAAAAAAAAATGAGGTAGTTGGTACTAGCTAGCAAAAGATAGTTTTGGTACTTGCAAAAAAGTAATTGGAATATATACTAATTGCATACACAATGAAAAGTGACTAAAAAACAAGTTAGTGATAAACAAAATAAATGGACAGGTAAGAATAATGAATATTATTAATTTTGGAGTAAGATTTGACTTGTAATTTAAAATTATGAACAATTAATAGCAGTAAGAAAGAAGATATAGAGTATTGGAGGTATTGGCATTAGCTAGTGATGAAAAATAATAAAAATAATAATGCACAATATAATAGTAACGTACACTATATGCACCACACGTATATATGTATTAAGGGCACTTATCTAATCTGTTACAGAAATGTCAGCTTTTCTAAGGAAGGTAGAGAAATCATGTTCGTTTGAGATGGTATATTGTTGTCCTGTTGATGTTTTCCTTACTAGTATTTTCCCATCTCGCGTGAAACACTGATGTATTTTGTTTTCCTGTTTAAGTTTTCTCAGCCTGAACAGAAGGTTTTGACGTTTTTTTGTTAGACACTCATTTATGTACACTCCATTTTTCATTGTTATTTCTGGGAAATAAACAACTGTTTGTGTTGTACACAGTGTTTATCCTAAACCTTACAGTATAAAATACAGTACTAACAGCATAAAAAGTAAAGTAAAAATTGAAATACCAAAATAAAACAAAATAAAGTCATTACAAAAATGTGATGTTGATATTCAGTAATAAGATTCGACTTATGTCCATTTCAACTTATGACCGGTTTCTCGGAACCAAACTCGGTCGTAAGTCAGATGGTACCTGTATACGTTAGCAGTATGTATCTGGTTTAGAAGCTACAGATAATGGTATCTGGTTTGGCAGCTGCACTCAGTGGTCTCTGTTTTAGCAGCTACAGATAGTGATCCTTGGTTTTGCTGCTGCACTTAGTGCTCCCTATGTTTTTAACATGAAATTAGTGGTTTCTTTGTCATTAACGGATGCAGTTAATGGTCCATGTGTCATTAGCAGATTCAGTTAGTGTAATTAATACGCAGTTGGCCAACACTGTGTCATTAACATATGCAATTAGTGGTCCCTGTGTAATTAACATATGCAGTTAGTGTTTTGTATATTAACATGCAATTGGTCATCTCTGTGTTAACATGCAGTTAGTAGCCCTTGTGTCAGTAGCATGCAGTTAGTAGTCCTTGTGTCAGTAACATGCAGTTAGTGGTCCCTGCGTTATTAACAGGTACAGTAAGCGTGATGTGTTCATCTGGCAGTTGAAGGAAGACTCCAATACCAGTCTGGCTGCACTGTAATTAGTGGTTCTTGTGTCGTTAACAAATGCAGTTAGTGATCTGTGTATCATTAACAGGTACAGTAAGTGTGATGAATTCATCTCTCAGCTGAAGGAAGGAAGACTTCAGTGCCAGCCCGGCTGCACCTCAGAGGAGACACTGGAGCAACTCATCCTCATGGAACTCAGTACCATCCGTGACAAGGCTGGTAAAGCCTGTGTTATGGAGCTTCACAAGACCAATGCTGCACTCAACATGGCTATATCTGGCTCCAAGGGTTCCTTCATTAATATCTCCCAAATGATTGCATGTGTGGGCCAGCAGGCCATCAGTGGAAAGAGAGCTCCAAATGATTTTGAAGACCGTTCACTGCCTCATTTTGAAAGGTAAAGTGGGACATACTAATATTCTTCTGCTATAGTAAATATTTTAGAGCTCAGGGATGTCTTTCTAAGAATTTACTTTTTAAAAGGGTTTCATTTTCCCACTGAAAGTTATTAAAAAAAAAAACACATGTCCAGTTGAGCCTAAAAAATATTTGCTCCCAAACTGAAAATTTTCTATTTCAAAATTGTATGTTCATAATTATAATTATTTTGTATAATAGGATAGATTAGGGAAAAAAAGATGGGTAGTGTGTTGAGGTATCTGTGGAAAGAAGTTTACGTATGGAAGTCAAAAAGTATAATGTTCCAGAGTATATTTGTACCAACACTCTTATGTGTGTGTGTGTGTGTGTGGGTGTGTTTGAGAGCAGTGTCCCTGTTGTCTCAATCAATCAATCAAAGTTTATTCTCTATAAGGATTACAATGCGGGATTTACAGATTTTGGTGCTGAAGACCAGTGGCTAACGCGACGGTCTGGAGTTTTGAGACTCTCTGATCGCGAGTTCTATCCCCGCCCGTAATATGGTTTGCCTAGTATGGACCAGTAGGTCTGCTGCAGTGTTCCTCATTTTTTATGTTCTTACGAATATCAATCATTCAATCAAGTTTATTCTCTATAAAGGTTACAATGCGGGGTTTACAGATTTTGGATATTGTGTGGTTTACATGTTATAAAATACTAATTACAGAAGGGGCCACTAGGACACCTAGCATGGCCAGGCATTTTGGGCAGACTTAGATTAATTCTTAACTCTAAATTAATACAGATTATGGAGTAAGTTGGTATTAAGGCTAAGTGAATACATTATAGTTTGTGAGTTTAGCAATGTAAATGCTTTTGTTTTTGCACAATGCACAGGTTCTATATTGTAGTATCACAGGCAAACTTATGACTAGTTAGGATTCATTATTTTATGATTAAGATTCGTATTTCTGTGATTATAGTGAAGTGGGTGAGTGAGTTAAGTGTGAACAGGTGGTTTTGATGTAGTTAGTTGTCGGGGTGTATCAGGGTGATAAGATGTTGTCTGACAGTAATTTTGAAGGTGAGGAATGTGTCTGCAGTTCTAGAGCTTTCAGGTAGGGTGTTCCAGATTTTAGGCCCTTTGACATACATAGAATTTTTGTAAAGGTTTAGTCAGACATGGGGAATGTCATAGAGAAGTTTGTGTCTGGTGTTATCCCTGTGGGTCCTGTCACAACTATCAAGAAAGCATTTTAGGTCAAGGTTAATATTGGAATTTAATGTCCTGTAGATGTAGATTGCACAGTAGTAAGTGTGGATGTTCTGAACAGGGAGTAAGTTTAGATCTATGAAGAGTGGGGGGGGGGAGTGTTGCCTGGGATGGGATTTAGTGATTATTCTTACTGCAGCTTTTTGTTGGGTTATTATTGGCTTTAGGTGTGTTGCTGCAGTTGATCCCCAAGCACAAATAGCATAGGTGAGGTATGGATAAATGAGTGTATGGTATAGTGTGAGATGGGCAGTTTGCGGCATGTAGTATCATATCTTGCAGGGAATTTGGAGCATAGAAATTATGAGGCTATATTGGGTAACCAACCCCTGGAAGTTACGTTCCAGGGGCTGTTGAGGTGGTATTAACATGTAGAGAGGATGGATAAGGCTACGGTGATAAAGAGAGAGTATCAATTATGAGTGGGGGCTGATGGGTGAGGGGGAGTCATCTCTGGAATGATGAGAGGAAGGGGTGGACATGAGGCTTTGAATTTTAGGAACTTGAGCATCTAGCAGGTGTGTGTGTGTGTGTGTGTGTGTGTGTGTGTGTTAGGAGTGAATGGAAACAAGTGATTCTTAACCCTTAATCGGTCCAAACATGTATACATGTTCACTCTCGCAGCGCCCCAAATATTTTGAAAAAAAAAAAAAAAAATTATAGAAAAAAAGAGCACATTTTTTTTAAGTATTTTAGAATAAAACAAATTAGGGTCAGTACTTACCGAGATATGAGGCCGAGAAGTTGGCACAGGATGCTCATGTGACAGCAACATCGAGTCCTGCCACTTGCAGAAGTCTTGCCGATATACCTTTTTATCTATTTTTCATATTATTTTATGTAATTTTTATGTTCTGATAATTACAATTTATAGTAGTTCTTGTCATTTTATAACCAATCTTTGTTCTGACACTAGTATTAGGTACTGAAATTATACTCAAATTGTCACAAACACACTGACAGGTGGACATTTACACCTGCCTTAGCCATTTACTATTGTCTTGGAATATATACAATATATGTCCCAGCAATGTTTTGGATATGTGGAAGTATATAATAACAATGAGGAGGAGGAGGAGGGGGAGAAGGAGATGGAGGAGGAGGAGGAGGAGGAGGAGGAGAAGGAGGAGGAGGAGGAGGAGAAGGAGGAGGAGAAAGACAAAGAGGAGGAGGAGGAGGAGAGAAGGAAGGGGGAGGAAGAGAAGGAGAAGGAGGAGGAGGAGGAAGAGAAGGAGGAGAAGGAGGAGGAGAAGAAGAATACGTAATAATAATAATAGGTAATAATAAGTTCCCTTGAAGCATGAAAAACAAAATCCACCCCTGACAGTAACATGATAAGATGAGATAACTGATAAGAGCTGACATTTGATGAGCATACATGAGGGTGAGGGAGGGTGCAGCTGATAAGAAAAGATTAGAGGTGATATTTGGTGAGTATCACCCTCACTTTGTTTTCGCTGGTACACAAACATGTCTGTCTGTCTATTTGTCTGTCTGTCAAGCTCCCTGTCTATCTGTCTAGCTCTCTGTCTCAGAGAGAGCCACAAGACTGTGTCGTCATCACGTTTACTCACATCTTCAAGCAGAGTATAGCACTTTGTCTGGATTTTTTTGGGTTATCCTAGGTAATTTATACTATGTATACTTGTATTTATGTGTACCTGTAAGACAGATATAGACAGACAGAAAGAGAGACATTGAAAGTGATACAGAGACAGATAAACAGAGACAGAGGTAGACAGTGTCAGAGATAGACAGAGATAGACAGAGACAGACAGAGGAAGATAGAGATAGAGATACAGAGATAGACAGACCCTAAACTTGGGGTTAACATCACTTTCCTCTTAAAAGAGGAGTGTTAATATGACATTACATCAGTGAATCCTTGGTGTTTGCCGCATTGTTGCTCTAGCTGGCGCTCAATTTAAGAACATAAGAGAACATAAGAACATAAGAAAGGAGGAACACTGCAGCAGGCCTGTTGGCCCATACTAGGCAGGTCCTTTACAATTCATCCCACTAACAAACATTTGACCAACCCAATTTTCAATGCCACCCAAGAAACAAGCTCCGATGTGCAAGTCCCTCTCAAATCCAACCCCTCCCACTCATGTACTTATCCAGCCTAAATTTGAAACTACCCAAAGTCCTAGCCTCAATAACCCAACTAGGTAGACTGTTCCACTCATCAACTACCCTATTTCCAAACCAATACTTTCCTATGACCTTTCTAAATCTAAACTTATCTAATTTAAATCCATTAACTGGCACTCTGACAAGGTACTAAGTGGTCCCAGATTTTTTTAATACCACGCACACTGAGTGTTAGGACCCATTCTATGCTGACCAGGCATCTCAGGCCAATCGTACCAAATTTGAAGGCAGGAAAAATAAAACGTATATATACGTTTGGGGCACTACGCATAAAAACGTATATATACATTTGGACCGTTTAAGGGTTAATGATCATGGTGGTGGAGTATGAGCAAGGTAAGTTTTATGAAGAGATTCAGGGAACCCAGTTAGCCAGACTTGAGTCCTGGGAAGTACAGTGCCTGCACTCTGAAGGATGGGTGGGATTGTTGCAGTCAGAGGGGTAATCTGATTATGATGTCAGCACATTTTGAAAAGACAGCAGTTGAGTGAATGTTGGTGAATGTGTTTTCTTCTTTGGGTCACCTTGCCTTGACAGGTGATGGTCGTTATCCTAGGTTCTCTACACATATGCTGCTATGTATGATAATTCTATGTAACTATATTTGTGTATACCTGAATAAACTTACTTACTTACTTACTAAAAATATTTAATACAATAATACTCAGGAAATGTAGTTAAAAATGCTGCATGTCTTGGTTTTGCATGTCCTTATATCCCATTCCTACAACAAAAGAATATTGTTTCTCAATGAACTGGGTAAGTTTGGTTTGTTGATTAGTCTTTCATGTATTCCTCCGCAGGCACTCCAAGATTCCCGCTGCGAAGGGTTTTGTAAGTAACAGTTTTTTCTCGGGCATAACACCGACAGAGTTTGTGTTTCATGCCATGGCTGGTCGAGAAGGTTTGGTCGACACGGCAGTCAAAACCTCCGAGACTGGTTACATGCAGCGTCGTCTGGTCAAGTTGCTGGAGGACTTGTATGTAGCGTACGACATGACTGTTCGCAATTCAGCTCAGGATATTATTCAG